TGCAAGGGCAATGTCAAGGCGGCGGCCGCGGACTCGCTCTGTCTCTCTCGCACTCATGGGACGGGACGCCCCGTGTGGGTGCGAGAGAGACAGAGCGACAGAACGACTCCTCGGTATCAGCCTGCAGTGCGGTGCGTGCGGGTGCGTTCAGTCTTTGCAGGGGCCGCACAGTGGGCCAGAAGACCGGTGGAGGCGGACAAAATTCTAGACGCGTTTTTTGAGCTCCAGAGTCGCTAAACTCGAACCGAACGTGTGACCCCGCCTATGGATTCCTCGTTCGGAGAGCAATCCATTGGTGGGGTCACACGCTCATTTTGAGTCCCATTCAGCGACTCTGGAGCTCAAAACGCGCCTCGACCGGTCTTCTGGCCCACTGTGGGCCGCGGCGTCTGGCTGGGCAAGTAGTGGCCCGGGCTGCAGTGCAGACTGACGCCGAGAGTCGGTTTCATCGATGTCTTTCTCGCACTCATGTGGCACCTGTCTTAGGTGCGAGAGAGACAGAGCGACGAAAACAAACCTCGGAATAAGTCTGCTGCAGACTGACGCTAAAACCGCTGCCTCTGTCGCCTTCAAGAGGCAGGGCGACGGCAGCGCTCGACCTATGCTGCGCCGTGCTGCGTGTCCGGCGCACGGCGCGTCCGAAGGAAAGCAGGCGAAGAACGCCGCGCCGCAGGAGAGAATGGAGAGACTAGAGAGACTAGAGGGACGCCGCGCGGAGAGAGTGCGGCGGACCGAGACAAAGGAGAGGCGGGAGAGAGACGGAAAGAGAGGCGGAGAGAGGCGGAGATCCGCGGCTGTGTCTCCGTGAGCCTATTGCCGACTATTGCCCGGTGCTGGGCTGCTGGGCTCGGCGGGCTCGCCGTCGTTCGCTGTTCGCGCCGCGAGAGGCGTGTGGAGGGAAGGGGGAGGGGGCAGTGGGGGAGTGAGTGGGGGCCGCGGAACGCACACAACACGCACTCCGAGACCGAGCGCCCCGCGAGGCACTTGCTGGCCGAGGCAGGACGACGAGGTGGCCGACGACGGCCTCCGCGTGCTCCGAGAGTGTCAGCGCCGCGCCGACGTCCCCGCAGCGCCGCACGCGCGCGCGTCCGTTTGTGTGTGTGTGCGTGTGAATGTGTGTGTGTGCGAGTGCCACTGGATTATGCACTTTGCGACGCCCAGGATGCGCAGGACGTCGTCGTCGGGCTGCACCGGGCCGCGCTGACGCCTTTCGTATGTTTGTTGTGCCTGGAGGCGCCGACGCCGAGGACGCCGTCAATGGTCAATGTGTCTGGGCCGCGTTGGCTGTGGCGGGGCTGCGTTGCGGCTGTGTCGAAGTGCCAAACGCAGAGCGGCACACAGACAACACACACGCAGACACACACGCAGACACACACGCAGACACACACGCAGACACACACACACACACACACACACACACACCACACACTTCATGGTTTTACAAACACACACACACACACACACACACACACACACCAAACACACCACACACACACGACACACACAGACAATGCACCGCGACCGAAAATGAACGAGACCCGACTGTTTCTGGCAAGAGCTCTGCGGGACTCAATTCATTCCCCGTGGATGCATTATTTGTCATATTGTCCCCCCCCCCTTTCGGACTCCCTCTGTTCTCTACCCGTGACAGCAGCAAGAACAACAACAACAATCCGACGACACAACGAAACAATGACTGCGTGTCGCGTGTTGACGGGAGGTTGACGCCCTCTCTCCCCGACATGGTTCTTTAATTAAGTGACCCTGCATAAGCTTATTTTTTTATTATTTTTTTTGCAAAAAATATTACATGATGTAAATTGCACAAATACTTCCATGGAATACGTGCCATGGTGATGGAGCGCCTTTCAGTTGCATTGCATCCTTTGGCTGTTTGGTTGCAAAAGAATTTTGGATGCAAAGCTTTTCCTGCAATTGTTTGTTTATTTGGCTTCAGCTCACTTAGTTTCGTTACTCGCTTGCTTGGCTCGCGGTGCATCGCTGCTTTGCAGCTGCCGGACTGATTATCCGCGCTGTCTATCTGGTCGCTCTGTCTCTCTCGCGCCCATGCGGAACAGCCCGTGAGTGCGAGAGAGACAGAGCGACGAAATAAATAAGTGACGTTGGGCATCGCTTTTGCTGGACTCGGCCCACACGCCCGGCATGGCGCGGCGTGGCGTGGAGCACGTGGGCCATCGCGGCCCTGCCCTGCCCTGCCCTGCCCTGCCCTGCCCTGCCCTGCCCTGCCCTGCCCTGCCCTGCCCTGCCCTGCCCTGCCCTGCCCTGCCCTGCCCTGCCCTGCCCTGCCCTGCCCTGCCCTGCCCTGCCCTGCCCCTGCCCTGCCCTGCCCGCCCTGCCCTGCCCTGCCCTGCCCTGCCCTGCCCTGCCCTGCCCTGCCCTGCCCTGCCCTGCCCTGCCCTGCCCTGCCCTGCCCTGCCCTGCCCTGCCCTGCCCTGCCCTGCCCTGCCTGCCCTGCCCTGCCCTGCCCTGCCCTGCCCTGCCCCTGCCCTGCCCTGCCCTGCCCTGCCCTGCCCTGCCCTGCCGGGCTGGAATCCGGTATTCGGGGGTCCGGCCCGGAATAGCCGCGGTGGTCCAGCAGCCCAGCCAACCGACACGGCGTGGACGGCGTGGACGCGGCCCCGGGCGGCTGCCGCTGCTGCTCGGTGCGCTCGACGGCCAGGTGGGGGAAGGCCCAAGTGGGGAAGGGGGAGGGGGGCAGAGAATTTGGCTGCAGGAGCCGCGACGCGGAATGCGTGAATGGCTGCAGAGGCGCCGCGGGACCAATGGACCCGCCGGACCCGCGGACAGGTGGACGGACAACGGGCCCGTTTCAACTTGGCGCCATTAACAACGCGGGTTTTCGTTCTTCTTGTTGTTTCCGAAAATGGACCCCGACGAGTTTTTGTAAATTTTCGAATCAATCGGTCTCCCTTTTGGGTGCACTGGAAAGAGACGGCGCGTCACCAAACCGAAACAACAACAACAACAAACTTTAAAAGTGTTAGCAACAGGGTAAAACAAAAACAGTAGAGTGGCGGTCGCCGGTCGCCGATGTACGCTGTACGTGTACGGTGTGCGCGAACGTGGTGTGTGTGTGTGTGTGTGTGTGTGTGTGTGTGTGCGCGCGCGCAAAGGATGCCCACGCCGAAGCAGAAAGTGTGCTGAGCATTTCAATACGGTCAAGTTCAATGCCGTCGTGCGGTGTCCGCGTCGTGCTTGGGATGCCATACCCCGCCGGCCGCCGGCCTGGGGCAGGGCAGGGCACGGCACGGCACGGCAGGGCAGGGCGGCACAGGACAGGGCACCGCAGGGCAGGACATGGCGTGCGCGGCGGTCGGGGAAACACAGCCATGCCCTCCTCCAGGAGACCCCGCTGAAAAATCCCAGTGGACCGTCGCGTCGTCGTCGAGTTACTCTACTCATCCTTTCTGCGGACTGCATCCCCCAGACGCCCTGCCGGTCTGTCTGGGTGGAGCCCCACGCCCCACGGGTCAGGACCGTCAGGACAGGGGCACTGTTGTTTTCCGAACAATGGAGACGAGACCCCTCCCCTCCCCTCCCTCCCTCCCCTTGCATGCATTGCCTGCCAAGTGTGCATCACGGGCAAGGGTCGCTGCCTGCCTGGCTGGCGCTGCCTGGCCGTTCGGAAAGAAAGACAAATCGCCTCCTAACAGCCCGCCGGCAATTAAAGACTCGTGGAGATAATTCCGGCGATACCCCCCTCCCCTCCCTCTCCCCCCTTTTCCTTGCCTTTCCTTTCCCCTCCCCTCCGCTCCCGCCCGGCAGCCTAGCGAACCTGCCGGTGATAGCATCGACCCGCGTGCCCCCCACCCCCCGCCACCCCTAGCCGGTGCGCCCCGCCCCGCCGCGCCCCGCCGCACCCCGCCGCGCCGCCGCATCGCTCGGTGCACCGAAAGAATAATAACAACAACGACAACAATCATTCCGATTGCGTTGATGTTGTTCTTGTTGTGGGCCAGCCTGGCCGACTGGCGGCAGGGAGTTCTGGGGCTTCCGCGAGTAGGGCGTCCTCCTCGAGGAACGAGGACCGCGACGAGGAAGCGGCGCGCTCGGCCGGCACGACGTCGACGTCGTTCCAGTGTCGCCTGTCAGGGCGCTGCGGACTGATTCCGAGAGTCGTCTTCGTCGCTCTGCCTCTCTCGCACTCATGGGGCGGCCCGTGTAGGTGCGAGAGAGGCAGAGCGACGAGGACGACTCTCGCGGAGTCAGTCAGCTGGTGGTGACGTGGGTGACGTGCCGCGCACCAGCTGATGCTGATGGACTCGGCGCAGTCCGAGACAGGCCAAGGCCTGCCTGCCCGGCGGACATCGCCATCACCGCGAGGACGGCGGGAGGCAGGGTTCTACTATGAATGGTAGAAAATTGAGGCAAAAGTGTTCCATTTTGGCATCGCCGAGAGATTTTTGTCGGTTGGAACAAGAGGACACGCGAGAGATCCAGCTCCGACCTCGTGAGCTAATTAGCCGAAGCACCGCTTTAGTTTGCATAGACAGCATTACTGCTTCGGAAGATTTAAGGTCCCCCGCCTCGTAAAGCAAGGCTTAATTTACTAAACTGCCGCTTAATCGGGCCAGGCGCCGCTTCATGGCTTGCATGTTCCTGAATTGCGTTGCTTTATGACACTCGTGACACTGACAGACAACACTAAAAACATGAAATACTACATCAACTCACAGTGAGGTGCTGTGCTAGGTGGTCGGCCCGCCACTCGGCCCGCCACTTTTCCGGCGGCTCATGGTCTCCACCCCACTTCCAGCCACGCTAGCGAGGCCCCGGAGGACGAACCGAAGGCCCTGAGGCCCCAGTAGAGGCCCCGAAGGCCCTCGGGCTGTAGGGCCACCCCGTCGCAGGGCCCGTAAGGCCAGGCCAGCCAGGCCAGCCAGGCCAGGGGATGCGGGGGCAAGGCCCGGGCGCAGCGGGCGCAGGCTGGGGCGCGGCCCGCGCGGCCTGTGGCCAAGCCTGTGGCCAAGCCTGTGGCCATGGAAGTGCTGGACGGCCTCGACGCGTCCACGGAGTCCCTCCTGCCTCGGCCCCTGCCCCGGCCTCTCGAGTCCCAGCTCAGCTTTGAGCCCAACGACGCCTTCAGCTTGGCGTTCTTCGACGCGCCAGCCCCGCTCGACCACAGCCCCCTGTCCGCCTGCTCCGAGCCGCCGTCCTCGCCCGCCCCCGCCCCCGAGCTGCCGCCCCCCGCCGCCCCCCGCGCCGCCACTGGTAAGACGGAGACGACGCGCAGCTCGGAGCGGCTCCGGAGGAGCAGCAGCAGCGGTGCTTTATGTGGTACTAATTGCCTGTCTCTTCTTTTTTCCGCAGGTGCAATCTCAATTAAGACGGAACCTGTGGAATCTTCCGGTGAGTTTGACAGCCTGACGCCGCGGCTTCGAGAGCGGGCACTAGATGGGGTAGAGGCTTCTAGGCGAGATCGAACGCGTGAGAACGTAGCGTCGTGTTAGTGGGCGTACTTAAGCGGTGCGTGGTCGTGGTCAAGGTGGTGTCAGAAAACGTATCCCGGCCACCCTGGCCCTGCACACTGGGCCAGCAGGAGACCGGCGCTGGCGCCCAAAACTCTAGACGCGTTTCGACTCAAAAATTTTGAGCCCCAGAGTCGCTGAATGGGACTCACACCGAGCGTGTGGATCGCTCTCCGAACGAGGAATCCGAATCCATAGGTGGGGGTCACCCCGGTTCGAGTCCCATTTAGCGACTCTGGGGCTCGAAACGCGTCCGGAATTTCGATCGCCTCCACCGGTCTTCTGGGCCACTGTGACCCGGTTTGACCTGGCCCCGAAGTTTCCCGACGTCCCCGAAGGACAAGGACAAAGTGCTGGGCGTCTTGGACAGATTCCTCGTCTGCGACCAGTGGACCAGTCAGTCTGACTGCCGCTGCACGCCGATCCCGTGCGAGAGGCCCTTCGCTGATACGGGCGATGCAGCTCCCTGAACTCGCGGTCCGGGTGCCCCGCCCAGAAAACTCAGCCTGCAGTCTGATACCGAGAGTCCTTGCCGTCGCTCTGTCTCTCTCGCACTCACGGGGCGTGCCGTACGGATGCGAGAGAGGCAGAGCGACGAGAACGACTCTCGGAATCAGGCTGCTGGGCCATTGCTCGCTCTGCGGTCTGCGCGCTGTATCGATGAGATGCGGACTCGGAACGCCGAGGAAATTATTCTGCATGAGAATGGAGGCGGGCATCGCCACCTGCCGGCCGACCCCGACCACCCCGACCACACCACCCCGCGCCGCCGCCCCGCTAGCAGACTGATTCTGCGAGAGTCGTTGTCGTCGCTCTGTCTCGCTCGCACTCACGGCGGTCCCCCTGGTAGAGAGCTCAAACGAGCGAACACTGCCTGTCCGAACGACCGAAAACGAAGGCTTCTGCCGAGCTCGGCTCGCCCGACTCGGTTGTGCGTCGAGCCGGGCGAGCCGGACTGCGGCTGGCTCGGTGGCTCGGTCACCGAAGCAACCCGAAGAACTACCGACGGGTCGCTCGGAGCCGAACGATAGCTACTAGAGGGCAGCACCTGTCGGGAAGGTTGGCGACAGACACTAGGCGAGGGGGTGAGGTGGGGGATTCTGTTGGCCAGCTTCCGAAAAAGGCGGGTGTCGAACCGGAAGCAGAGGTTTCAACGAGCGAGCGTCGACGATTTCGGGTATCTTCGGAAGCCGAAAAGTGCTTCGGCTCGTAACATATCCGAACAGCCGTGTGCGCTCATTTGAGCTCTCTACCCCCTGGTGGGAGAGACACAGAGCGACGAAAACGACTCCCGGAATCAGTCTGCATGCCTTCGCCCCGCCCGGACGCTCCGATTCGACAGAAGCAGCCGCCGCCCACCCGTCATTTCGTTTCCCTAAGAATTTAATCAAACTTTCTGTGTTTTCTTTTTTACGTGAGAGGCGCTGTCGGAGTCCCGGCAGCCCAAACACGATCCATATTTATGATTGCCCACCCTTCCCCGCGCCACGCCGTGCCGCGCCGTACGGGGACGAGACGAAATATCGTTTCCCCGTTTTCCCGCCAAAAGCAAAAGGGGCCCGGTCGCCCTGCCCTGCCGCAGAGCGGAGATGGGCGATGCGCGGCGGCACGGCACGGCCGGTTGGCCACTCTAGCGTCTAGTGGCGCGCGGTGGTCACTCTAGGACCAGTCTTCTTCTCTAGGGTCAGCGGCCCCGAGCCTGGCCTAGCCTAGCCGCGCCAACCAGCCGCTCCGCCGCGCCCTGCCGTGCCTTGCCGCGCCGTGCAGTGCCGTGCCGTGCCGTGCCGTGCCGTGCCTTGCCGCGCCGTGCCGTGCCGTGCCGTGCCACGCCATGCCGTGCGCCCCGCCGTGGACGCCGTGCGTGCGCCAAGGCGCGCCAAGGCGTGCGGAGCCTAGCCTATCATATCAACTGGTGCGGCGGCGGCGGTGGCGGAAGCTGCTTCTCGCTGTCCTTCTCGTCCTTGTTGTTGCGCGCTCGTTTGTGGCGCTGTACCCGACCGAGGACCTGAAGACGAGAGAAAGGGGGAGGGGAAGGGGAAGGAGGGGCGGTGGCGTTCCTTTCCCAGCGAGCTCGTTGCGCGGAAAGGCAGCGGTAGGCAAATAAATAATGATTGGAATGCTCGAGGCGCGCCGCCACCGCCGTGTTTTGGTCCAAAGCCGCTACGCCACTGCCTCGCTGTTTACCCGCGGCCCGTGGTCTAGTTCCACCAGGGTTTCAGGGTTCCACAGGGTTCCAGGGTTTCGGGTTGTAGGGTTCCAGCGCTCCAGGGTTCTGGGGTTCTTTGGTTCTGAGGTTCTGGAGAGATTCTGGAGTTCCAGGGTTCCAGGACCCCAGGGCTTATTCCAAGGATTCCGGGGTTTCCAGGGTTCCAAAGTTCCAGGGTCGAAGGGTTCCAGGGTTGTAGGCAGCTTTCTAGGGTTCCAGAGCGTGGCTCGCGATGCGGTTGGTGACCTGGTGCCTGGCCGTGTTGCAGGGTCAAAGGGTTCCAGGGTTGTAGGCAGCTTTCTAGGGTTCCAGAGCATGGCTCGCGATGCGGTTAGTGACCTGGTGCCTGGCCGTGTTTCAGAGCAACACTTCGCGGCGGCCGACTCCAACAGCTCGACCCCCGCCAAGACCTTCATCCCCTGCAAGGTGTGCGGCGACAAGGCGTCGGGCTACCACTACGGCGTCACCTCTTGCGAGGGCTGCAAGGTGAGCGTCACGGGTTCAAATCCCGCCCCCTTCCCCTGAGGCTGTCAGACTTACTAATCCCTCGCTGTCCGCTGCGTTGCAGGGCTTCTTCAGACGCAGCATCCAGAAGCAGATCGAGTACCGCTGCCTGCGCGACGGCAAGTGTCTGGTCATCAGGCTCAACAGGAACCGGTGTCAGTACTGCCGCTTTAGGAAATGTCTAGCGGTCGGCATGTCGCGCGACTGTAAGTGCCAGTCACGTGATGCTTTCTCCTCGCAGCGTGCGAATAAAGCCCGGAGCGTTATCGACCGCCTTCCTTGTTCTCAGCGGTGCGGTACGGCCGCGTCCCCAAGCGGTCCAGGGAGCGCGCTGAGTCGCTCGAGTCGACGGGCAGCGCGGACGGCGTGGACGAGGTGGCCGCCGAGGTGGACCCCGCCGTGGAGCAGCAGCAGCTGCTGGACATGATCGCCGGCGTCACGGCGGCCCACCGCGCGCACTGCAACTACACCGAGGAGGCGACGAGGGACACGGTGCGCCGGCCCGCCGGGCAGCCGCTGGCGCAGGCCAGGCCGCGGGTGAGTTCATCGGCGTGCTTCCTGGCCGAACGCACAGTGGGCCAGAAGAACGGTGGAGGCGGCTTACCATTCATCGACGCGTTTTGAACTCCAGAGTCGCTAAGTGGGACTCGAACTGAGCGTGTGACCCCACCAATGGATTGCTCTCCGAACGACAAATCCATTGGTGGGGTCACACGCTCGATTCAAGTCTCATTTAGCGACTCTGGAGCTCGAAGCGCATCCGGGATTTTGACCGTCTCCACCGGTCTTCTGGCCCACTGTGCGCCAGCCAGCCGCAGCGCCAAGCGCGAGCGCCTGTGAACGGCAGGGTAGGCAGCCCGCTGGGTCGGTGTGTCGGCCGTCCGGCGGGGCTGCCTACCCTGCCGTTCACAGGCGCTCGCACTGCGGCCGGCTCTGCGTGCTTCTGCACCTCCACGAGGAGGAGCTCGACGAACCCACACTGCAACACCACTATCCTCGGCGCAGAGTGACAGCGACTCCAGTCCCGGGGCCGTGGCCACCACGTCGACGGGCTCCGTGTCGGGCTCCGTGTCCGGGTCGGCGGCTGGGTCGGCGGCCGGGTCGGCGCCGTCCTCGCCGGACTCGCTGACGTCCACGCTGTCGCTGGGCCCCGCCGCCCTCAGCCAGCTGGAGCCGGCACAGCGGCTACGCACCACGCTGTGGCAGCAGTTCGCCTCCCTGCTGGTGCCGTGCGTCACCAGGGTGGTGGAGTTCGCCAAGAGGGTGCCTGGTGAGTCTGCGCGTCGCCACGGCGTCGCACTCCCGCAAAGCGCTTTTAGCCTTCTTTCCGGAGGCTCATGCTTGACGAAGCCGTTGTTGGAAGTCCTCGAACCTTGAACCTCGAACCTTCAACCTTGAACCTCAAACCTTCAACCTTGAACCTCAAACCTTCAACCTTGAATCTCAAACCTTCAACCTTGAACCTCAAACCTTCAACCTTGAACCTCAACTCAAACCTTCAACCTTGAACCTCAACTCAAACCTTCAACCTTGAACCTCAACTCAAACCTTCAACCTTGAACCTCAAACCTTGAACCTTGAACCATAAACCTTCAACCTCGAACCTTGAACCTTGACCCTTCCCCGCAACTAACGTCGGCGTGCTTCTTGTGGCGCAGGCTTCCTGGAGCTGTCGCAGGACGACCAGCTGATCCTCATCAAGGTGGGCTTCCTGGAGGTGTGGCTGGTGCACGTCTCGCGGCTCGCCACGGAGCACGGCCTCACCATGTGGGACGGCACCACCTTCACGCGCAGCCAGCTCACCACCATGTACGACGTGAGTATCGACCCCAAACTCGGACGACGACCGATTTGTTGAGCTTCGCAGTGTTCGGGCTTTTGAGGCATCTCAAGCCGGCGGCGGCCGGCTGGTCGCAAGCTGGGCCAGTCTGTCAGCCTCGAAAGTCCGAACACTGGAGCTTCCTCTTCATCGACCTGTATGTTGTGGTGGACAGGGCGAGCTGGTGGGCTCCATCCTCAGCATGTGCTCCTCCATGGGCGCGCTGGGGCTGAGCGAGCCGGAGACGGGGCTGCTGTGCGGCGCCGTGCTGCTGTCCCCCGACCGCGCGGGGCTGGCCGACGTCAAGGCCGTCCGCGCGTACCAGGACAAGGTGCTGGACGCCCTCCGGCTGCAGGTACGTCGCGTGGAAGCGTGGAAGGGAGGGTCACGGCGGCCACTCTCTGACGGCCTGGTGGCTGGCCTGGCCTGACGGCCTCGTGGCTGGCCTGACGGCCTGGTGGCTGGCCTGACGGCCTGGTGGCTGGCCTGACGGCCTGGTGGCTGGCCTGACGGCCTGGTGGCTGGTCTGACGGCTTGGTGGCTGGCCTGACGGCCTGGTGGCTGGCCTGACGGCCTGGTGGCTGGCCTGACGGCCTGGTGGCTGGCCTGACGGCCTGGTGGCTGGCCTGACGGCCTGGTGGCTGGCCTGCCGGCCTGGTGGCTGGCCTGACGGCCTGGTGGCTGGCCTGACGGCCTGGTGGCTGGCCTGACGGCTTGGTGGCTGGCCTGACGGCCTGGTGGCTGGTCTGACGGCTGGTGGCTGGCCTGACGGCCTGGTGGCTGGCCTGACGGCCTGGTGGCTGGCGACGGCCTGGTGGCTGCATGACGTCCCGGTAGCTGGCCTAACGCATGCTCTCGCTGCTGCAGGTGTCCATGACGCGGCCCGGCGAGACGTCGCTGGTGGGGCTGCTGCTGCAACGGCTGAGCGAGCTGCGCGCGCTGAGCGCCAGGCACTGCTCCAGCCTGGACTGGCTGCGCGCCAACTGGACGCTGCTGCGGCTGCCGCCGCTCTTCGCGGAGATCTTCGACATCCCCAAGGCGGACGAAGACATGGCGTAGGCCTGGCGGAGGCGTGACGACGAGGCGAGAGGCGAGGGTTTGATTGGCGGCTGCAGTTTGATTGGACGACGGGGCCCTGCGCCCTTGGGCCCCGGGAGGGAGGGACTACTGAGATTGCGCGGACGAGAAGGAAGAGTTTGTTTCCGTTTGGATTTTCCCCGCTTCGGAAAAAAAAGCAAAACAAAAAAAGAGAACTCGTACTTTGTGTTTGACTGACTAAGAATAATCGATGCCATAATAATGTATTATTCACGTAAAGTAAGTGCTGGGGCGTCTCGCTCCCCAATGACTATGTATAAGAGCCTGGGCGGCGTCGGCTCTGCCGTGGCTCTGCGACGCCCTGAGAGCGAACCGGAGAGAGGCGTGTTGTGACATTCTTTCGGAAATTTTTGAACTGAAGGTGCCGTGGCGTACCGCAGATTATTCGTTGCACAATCATTCGTGAACAAAGAGACAATCGTACTGATGTATGCAATAATAATTTACGCTAGCGTATTCGCGTCGAGACTGAGTTGCTCATCAACTTTGTTTAACTTTCTGTCTCTCTCATCGACGAGTGTTGAACTCTGCGCCTGGCGAGTCGGCTCCAGGGACTCACACTGTCTGAAAAATATTGCCTCTGAGGACGAAAGAACTTTTTAAAATCTTTTCTGTAACAATAAAAAGACAGTGTGAACTTGGTAGCGACTCGTTACTGCGTTATAAGACTGTAGCCAAACGCGCGGCGACTAAAGTAGCGTTTTCTCGCAAAGCGGCTACGAAATGAAGCGATCGAAATGAGATATTGCGTGAGAGCGTTAGAGCCGCGATCAGGAGGGAGGACTGCAACAGACTAAGAACCGTGCCTTCCACTCTAGACAACTCCGTGAGTATCGCGAAGTTTTAAAGATCTCAAAATATACGACTGGCCAACGAAAAACCAAGACTTAGTAGCAGCTCATCATGCACTATGTGAAAAATGTGCACGTTTTATCGCGTATAAAGGATGGGACACTTTTTATAAGGGGAGACTTTTTTATCCATCTCCCGATCTTTTAACTTAATAGTTAAGATATTTCTTATCAAACCATACTTTCTACACTCATTTTCACTCTCTTCTGCCGTGACGAGTAGTTGTAGGCAGCAATGCTGGAACGCCAGGGTATTTTGCAAGCAAAATCTGTTTTAAGTTTCATGTATTCTTTTGAGCAAAGTTGTGTCGGGCCGGGCTGACGCTCTATTCGTCAAGCCTGGCGGGGCGGGTGAGGCGGGGAGTCCCTTCGATTCGTGAGAAGGACACTCGTGACACGGTGTCAACCAGGCGCAAAAAAGACGAACGTACCTCGTGTACTGCGCAGCCGCGCTGAGCGCCTGGGAGACTCCGAGGTAGGCCAGCCCGTCGTGCACGCGCGCCGGCGTGCTGCCTACGCGCCGCTTCACAGGCGCTCTGCCCTGTAGGCCGATTCCGAGAGTCGTTTTCGTCGCTCTGTCTCTCTCGCACCTCTACGGGACGCCTCGTGAGTGCAAGAGAGACAGAGCGACGGTAACGACTCTCAGAATCAGCGTGCTTGCTTCGCCAAAGCACCGAGCGGTGGTCCCCAAGGGGCGCCCTGCCTGCCTATGCCTCGGCACCCTCGGCCTCGGCCGGCACAGCTTCAATTAGCGACGACAATCTCTCGAGACCTGTTTGTTTTGTGAGTAGGGTGGCGTCGAAGCCTCAAACCCCGCCCGATGGCCCTGCGACGTTCCTGCCGACTCTTCTGCAACCCTAACCATATCCAATCGAGTGCGGCGACCTCTGTAAAATCTCCTTCTAAGTAGGCCTATGTAGATCCGTAGTTGTTGCCACCATTTACTCCTTCGTTTAGTTTGTCTAGGGGAGGATTTCGTTTTAAGTTGGCGTTGCTATCGAGATATCGGCGCTCTTATTTGGCTCCTCAAACATATCATTACAGATTAGGGCATTGAGTCATGTAGCAGGCGGTCTGATCTGGTCTTTCTCGCGACGTAGTTCTAGCGTGGTATACATGACTTACATTTATTTATACATATGTTTATCATTTTAGATTTGCGCGAGACGCAATATATATGTAAATTTCGTGTTATGTACGTGTACTTTATCCATACACGTCAGAGTTCATATAAAATATTACTCGGAACATCGTTGTACATATTTCTTAGCAATCGTGAATGTAAACATCTGTCTCAATCATCTTACTATTAAACGCGTTCTTATATATATAAAAGTGTTTGAAACACGATAATAGTGGCAGTGACCATACCGGGGGGTACCAAACCTACGTCTTTTCTTGTTGTGTATACATATTGTTACTCTTTTCTGTCCGCGGCTGTGTAAATTAATGATAATATTACAAGTAGCCTTACGAGTTTAATAATCAACCCGATATGTGATCCACGATTTCCATACACTATGTGTTCAATGAGTGTCTTTATTGCCGATGTAGGGGCGAGACAGGGCCGTTTGCACACCCGTGCCATCGTGTCTTCAGGACCCGCCTTCCTGCTGAGACGACAGAGGGGAAGTGCGGGCAAGTCGGCCGGGGAACTAAAATGCCCTGGACGGGGCCTGCAAACGCGTCGCTGTGCTGCGTCACATATCCGTTACTATCATTGTTGGTTATCAATTTTTATGTCGTTATTTCTGAGGATGGGAGCGACCTTGTTAGTGCAATGCCACACGTTGCGTGTATTTATGAATGAACAACTCAATTACTTCTTAGAATTTCGTTGTTTTATCCTCTGCTGTTAACTTATTATTCTATTTTATTGAAATGTTTTTTTTTATTAGATCGACTATTAATTTGTTTTATTATTATTACATTATTATTGTTGCTATATTATGATATGACGTCGCTCTCTTGCAAGAAGCGCGAGTGTGTAGCGGTGTTTGTTCCTTGTCTGCCTCCCTTCGGGCTCCCTGTGTGCTTTGACGGGAAAAGTGTGTCGGGGCGTCGACAAGCACTGCCACTCTGAATAAATGTTAATTGTCGGTTTGTAAAGTAAGGATAACGTTTCGTGGTACAAAGAGTACAAATGCACATCCATTCCCTCATTTCTTCATGCGTGTCTTAAGTGTGTCTTCTTTTCTTTTCTCCTCTTTTTTCATTTTCAAGTACAATTACCAGTACGGTGTAAGGGTATGTAAAGTATAAATCTTCACAGTGTATTAGAGTATTAATATCGTAGAGGGGACGTTATTGTCTTATAGAGACGGAGCCGTGATTCAGCCGGTAAGATTCAAATGCAGCTTTAAACATTACTCCACTTGATCAAAAAATTCTCATGGGACTCCTCATCTTGTATGTCAAATTTCCCACCTTACATTTAGAACTGGGGAGGGTGCCGCTGCGAATAGGAGAATGTGTTTGGACGAGTTGATGAAGTAGAGTTTGATGCAATGATGGTCACGATTCTCGAGTCTCGCTATTGATGATCGTTGTCAGAGGGGCGGCCCACCCGGCCGGTGCTGGAACGTGTTAAGGAGAAATCGTCAATGTCTCACCGCGGGGCGCCTACTCCCACAGTTTTAGGCATGAGGATGACCTCCAGTTTGCAAAATTAAAGTGGAATTGCTCTGTTTTTTAAAAAAATTAGTTTCATCGCCTCACGGCTGCAAGAAATTAGAGAAAATAAAACGTTTTGTGAACTTTAAGGCAATTGTGTAGCAAAAGAATGTGCGTGAGCTTCTAGAAATACTATCCTAGGTTCATTTTCGGAGTTTTCGGTAGTGATCTGGTTCATATCATGAATAAATTAATGAGTTTTATCAAACAGAGTTCTCTAGCCTCTTTCTTCTTGAGACTGTTGTGTATTAACCAACCAGCGTATATGAACCTTTTAAAACCTTTCATGTAACATTCATGACTAAATTTTTAATAGATGTTGTATCATATATTCTGAATTTAGAGAATCTCTGCTTGTACAGAAAAACGTTGCATTGTACTGTCTAACGCCTCGAGTAGACTACCCTTGCCTGCCGAATGGAAATGATATTTCACTGTTCCACTGTGGACGACCTGCTCTGTAGCACCCTATTCTTGACAGAGCTATCCTGGATTAATGTATAAAAATCCCCCCTCCCCTTTTCTGCTTTAGGGTATTTTCTGAAAATCCCCCATAAATCTATTTTACCAACTGGCCAGTTGGCATCTATAAAAGACTCTAAACTGTATTTGTAGACTTTCTGAAAGTTGATTTTAGAGACATATCATGTGTATGTTATTGATGAAAACAGCTTTGAATAACATTGCTCTTTTTCTCCTGTTGTTGGGAGCATGAAATACAACAATTTGACTGTGTCTTTTTCTTTCTCTTACTCTTCTATTTATTTTGTTTGCTGGTTGTGTGTAGAAATACGTTGTTATTCTCTTTGCATTGTTATGAAGTACTGAGTACTTATAGCTGAGTACACTTTTGCACTCTACCCTATGTAATTGTTGTCCTTCCCTGTCATTTTATATAACAAAAGAGAACATTTAAATAAATGGGATTGGAATCCAAAATCTTTTTAATCACTTCATATGGCATGTCCATTGCACAGAGCGGCGACGCGATCGCATTCCAGGGGTGGGCAAAGCGGTGCCTTGCCGCAGGGGCGGCGACGCCGTGGGACACCGGGGAAACGCCCCACCCAAGTTTTGGCAAGGGGGGCAGCAACATTTTGGCCAAAAGAATAAGTTACTCGCTTTGGGCTCCAACTCAATTATTTTTCAATTTCAGACAAATCTGAGGTGGTCGACCGCTTTTGCCAAAAGTCTTGCGCCATTGTGGAGTGCTAACGTTAGGAGTGGCTGGGTGGCTCAGCTCGTTGAGGAATCTACCTTCCTTATCCTTGAGATGATAGCAGCCATCAGGTCATCCTTGGTCTGAATCCCGGGTGGGTCAATATTTTCCCCAGTTTGCTTTTCAAGTAAGTTACCATCAATCTGAGATCGGTTGCCACTGAAGACAGCGTTTTGGTGGCTCGGATGGTTGAGATGACGGCAGCTACCAGATCATCTTGGGTTCAAATCCCAGGTGCGCTGTTCCTTTCCCCAGCTGACCTCTCAAATGCGGTACCATCACTCTAAGATTGGACGCCACCATAAGTAGTGTTACGGTGGCTCCGTTGGTTGAGGTGATGGCTGGCACGAGAACATCCCGGGTTCGAATCCCAGGTGGGTTGATTTTTCCCCAGCTCACCTCTCAAATCCAATATCATCACTCTAAGATTGGACGCCACCGTAAGCAGTGTTGTGGTGGCTCCGTTGGTTGAGGTGATGGCTGGCACGAGAACATCCTGGGGTCGAATCCCAGGTGGGTTGATTTTTCCCCAGCTCACCTATCAAATCCAGTACCATCACTCTAAGATTGGACACCACCGCAAGTAGTGTTGTGGTGGCTCGGTTGGTTGAGGTGATGGCTGGCACGAAAACATCCTGGGCTCAAATCCCAGGTGGGCTGATTTTTCCCCAGCTCACCTCTCAAATCCAGTACCATCAGTCTAAGATTGGACGCCACCGTGAGTAGTGTTGTGGTGGCTCGGTTGGTTGAGGTGAAGGCTGGCACGAGAACATCCTGGGTTCGAATCCCAGGTGGGTTGATTTTTCCCCAGCTCACCTCTCAAATCCAGTACCATCACTCTAAGATTGGACGCCACCGTAAGCAGTGTTATGGTGGCTCGGTTGGTTGAGGTGATGGCTGGCTCGAGAACATCCTGGGTTCGAATCCCAGGTGGGTTGATTTTTCCCCAGCTCACCTCTCAAATCCAGTACCATCACTCTAAGATTGGACATTCGTCCCGTGTGTGTCGCCGTAGCGTAGTGGGCAGGGCGGCGGCACCAAGTTTCCCTGAGGCCCTGGTTCGCCACCAGGTCGGTTCGTCTGGGAGTATTCCCGGGACTGAATTTCCATGTACCCTTTATGATGCCTCTACTCCAGCCTCCCTTCGGGGAGGGGGGTAGGGGGGGTGGGGACCCGATGAGGGGAACTCTTTTGCCTCTTCACAGGGGAAAAACGCGAGTTTGCTTTTCTTATAGCCAGGATGTCTTAGATTTCATATCACCGCGCCGTGAGGTGTCGACTGGGTGGCCTACCTTCACGGCGCCACACAGCGCGGTGGCGTGTCGAACGGGTGGCCTAACTTCACGGCGCCAGAAGTAACTGGGTCGAGTCCTAACGGGGCAAAAGAGTGGTACTCCCGAGATTCGTACCCAAGCCCAATACGTGGCAGCCAACACCTCAACCATCTTAGCCAACTGAACACTGGTTACTTTGGTGTCCAAACTCACGCTAATAGCACTGGAGTTACCGAAGTTTTTAACTGGGGAAAAAGAATGACCTAGTGTTCTGCATTGGGCGGTCCGGCCGGTCCGGCCAATTTCGTTGCCCACGGAGCGACTGCAGCGCTGTGAACGCCTGGGTTCGCCACCGGGTCAGGGGGGTCATGACCCCCCCCCCCTTTGGCCACTAGACAGCCGCCTGGAAGGTAGGCAAATTGCGGTACTTTCCCCCTGTAAGTAGGCAAAAAGCATGGCCCGACCCCCCCTTTCAAAATTTCTGCGCACGCCACTGGTGCCTGGTGCGCCTAATGGTCTTTGATAGATGGCGAGAAAATGGCATTGCCTGTGGCGCTAGTTGAGTTCTTGAATCCAAAGTAAGTAAATTCTTTTTCCCCAAAGGTTGCATTTTCCTCCTCCTCCTTGCCAAAACTTGGAGTTGCCCCAGTGCCCCCCACCCCACGGCATCGACGCCCAAGCCATTGCTGCAAAGTCAAGTGGCAGCCTAGTGATGGCAAACTTCCTGGTATCTCGCAAAGACGAAAGAACTCAGGTTCAGAGGACACTGAAGCCACAAATCACCAATTGGGGAAAGAGGGTGTCACTATTCAGACCTCACTCTCCGCCTTATCAACTCACAGCTAAAACTTTGTGCTCACAAGATGGAAAATTTACAGGAAGAGTTGACTGACCAGAGGTAAAAAGAGCTTAGTCAGGAAACAATTCTATAGTTTTTGCTTTTTAATATTTGGTTATATGTATATATGCAAAATACCTTGTAACAACCATACTCACACATCAATTATATGCATATTTAAAAAAAAAAAACAGAAAGAAAAATATTTGGTACAAAGCAAAGCATACAAGACAAATTTTATCACAATTCAATACGTTATCTATACATGACCAGTCAGACTCCATTCTATTACACTTCTGAACTTAAAACATTGTCCACTGCTGAATGTTTTTCTTTTGTTATTTTTTTAAAACTATCTGTACAATTGAGAAGTTGTGACTGACAAAGAAATCAAATGTACAATAGGCTTACCTTTTATCAGAAAAATATCTTAGCCAAATTAACTTGAGACTTCCAAGTGTAGATGTCATAAATTCTCAGTTAATAGAGCATGTCAGTTTACTCCAACAGAACTGAACTACATAGTCACCGCCAGGTAGCTTATGCACAACTGAGAATGTAATGAACCATCATTTTTAAAGAATTGATACTTAATAATACAAAACACTTACACTGTACACACATTGACAACTTTACAAAAGTACAATCTGTACAAGCTTTTGTTTGCTTTTCAAGTAATATCACGTATGTGAGTCGTAACAGTCATCACACTTTATTACAATTAAAATTAATGTAATAGTTCCTAATTACATTTGTTTGCACAATCATTTTTAATATTAAAAACAACATTAAACTCAATCACTTTTAAGAAAAAAAATTAAAAGGAAATGGGGAAGGGGGGGGATATACACAAAACTAATACTCTATGCTGACTAAATATTATTTCTCAGGAAGTGCAAAAATTTAAGCAGAAGACAAAAAAAAAAAAAAAAAAATATGCATATGACTACTGCATTTGTAAAGGTTTAAGATTAGAGATTAGCCATAGTGAGGGTAAAAAGAGGCAAAAGAGAAGCAACAAACTTAAGTGAGATAAGGTCATTTGATAGTAGTCAAAAGACATTCTCTAAACTTAACTGCAAGGTTGATTAAATGATTAAAAGATTCACCGTCAATGAGGAATCAACAAAAGGCCACCCTATTATCATAATAATTTGTTTTGCAAAGGACCATTGACAGCTTTGAAAACAGAACAGAGGCTAACTGAAAATTGGTCAAAAAATCGAATGAATCACTCATAAAACAGAATTGAAACAAGGGGAAAACAGTGATTTCAATGTCCAAAAGCTTAAAGCCATGTGTGAGCTGGTTGGAATTAGATCATTTGAGCAACAATGAACACACTTCGGAATTCAGAACGAATTCCTATTGTTTCAAAGTACAGTGAATTCTGTCAAGTATCCAAGGGCACTACAATTCTTTTCAAACTCTTTTTCAAACGAAATGGTTTATGAGACTAGTGCAAGCTTAGCCCAAGCAGGACATCTGGCAAGAACTGCAACGGTAATCTTATTCCATAGATGAATCACAGAATAATGTGAAATTAACAAAGTAAATGCCAAAAAATAGACAATAAATTATCAAAAGAGATGCCCGGTAGACCGCGACTAGACACAAGACATAAATTAAAAATGAAATAAACTATTACAATGTATTTTTGTACAAAATACAATAATCACATAAGTATTAAGTCGCGGCAAAGAATCCTAAACTTGGTATCTCATAACTGTAACATTATTTGGCAACCAGAAAAAAATTCATCAGATACCTTTTCTTTTTGCTTGAACCCAATTCACAAGCATTTGTTACAATTTTAAGATCAAAATAATGAAAAAGAGGGTTAAAACTGTAATTGACACTTCTGCATAGCAGAAGTTGCTCTATTCAAGCAACATAATAATCCAGATCATACACTACTTGTTTGGTCGTGGTGCCTCCGCACATACCACTTGGATGAAATTAAGTTTTCCTAACTATGGCAACTAAATGCAACGTCAAGACTAGACAGATGCCAAACCCATAAGTGATGAACAATAATTTAAATAAATACCAGTTCATAAAAACTGAAGAAACAATGACAACAGTTTAGACCAACTAAACAAAGGTTGCAGACTATTCTTGCATAATCAATGACAGGACCTCGAGAACTTAAAAAAATGATTGCCTAAGATTGAAGCCTAACGCATAACCTGCCAAACAATGAGATGACTCTGTACTCCACGGCTAAGGGTTTGAGAGGTTTCTTGAGTGGACGGCACTACTTCTGCTTCTCCGTCGTCATCATCTTCCTCACCTGTAATCAAAATAATAAAATCGTAACCACTAAGATAGAATATGAAGAGTCTCTTGTCACACAGTGAATAAGATGAAATGGCAAGCAAATACAAAAATGTTTGGATGGACAAACTCTTTCTTCATTTGAATCAAAGAAAAAGTGAAAAAGTTATAATAGTAAACAGTTTAGATAAAGGAGAGTTCAAGGTAGCTTTGAATGAAGCACTGCTGTGGATTCAAACAATTATGGCCGTATCAAGTTAAGGAAAATCAACAGATCAACACATCAACAGATCAACAGATCAACGGATCGGGACGGGTTGGGGATGGCATTATAGGTCTAAAACCAAGAAATATGTTGAAGAAATTGAGTACTTAGGTCATCCTAAGACATTTGATTCAATAGTTTTTACTCCCCGACCCACCCCGACCCGCCTTGATCCGTTGATCTGTTGATCTGTTGATGTGTTGATCTGTTGATTTTCCTTAACTTGATACAGCCTATGCATTTCTGGAGCAGATGCTTTGATAAGTAATGTAATACAAGGCAAGAAACAGGAGGAGAAGATGTGGGTACAATCTTATAGATTATGTAAGCCCATCCTCTTCCTCACTTAATATGTTGGCTGTGAGCCCATTGCAACACTTGCGGAAATGGAGCCACAGGTATGGTCATGTCACAGTCAACATACTGAGTCAATACACATTGAGATACTAAGATACAATGCATTCCCACTAACTTCATAGCAGCCATGACAGATTTCCTAGTCTCTGTTTGTCTTGGACACAACCAGATTTCCAGCAAGGAGAGCAAAAGAAGTCCTTAGATTTTTTAGTGCCAGTCACCAAAATGTGCATGCCTTTATGTAAGACCTCATGTGATGAGCTTGGACTATCTTTAAAAAATAAAAACTATAAAAGCCCAGCATTTTTCTCTTTTTTGAAGCTACTAAACTACAATCTAATTGAAAGACACCACCACCCTTGGAAACAACAAAATAGAGAGTCAGGTCAGTTACAACAACTGAAACCAATATTTGTCCTGTTGCAGGGCATCTTAAAGAATCATTTAGATGTAAGACGATTTGCATACAGTGATGTATAAAGCTAAGCTATCTTGTGTTTTGTGTCAAGCTGAGCAACTGAGTCAAAACAGAGCAAGCAGGCAAGCAGGCAGCAGCACAGCAACATGTCGTACCGGGCTGGCAACAACTGCCATACTATGAGGTGCGATGCAGAGTCCTGAGCCTCGTCCGCGTCATCTTCTGCAACCACCAGACAGTGTCACACCAACATCACACGCAGTCACACACCCATCTACCTCAAGTTGGATAACATCACACAAAAGCAAACGGCATTAAGCGCACTCAGATTACATTATTAGATTGTGCAATTAAATGAAATCACTAGGTAGAGTTAGAGTCCTAGATCTAGGTCTCTAAGCAGAGTGAAGTGAGAGTGAATTACTAGGAATTTCACTTCTAGATAAACACCACTAGTAACATATTATATTATAACACACAATGTGACATGCCACTGTACTTCGACCCATTCTGAGAGAAAGGAATTTACTCTTCTTTCAGTGCATAGAAAATTACAAAAACTGAAAAACATTTATTCAATGAAAATTCAAGAATGTAAGTTTGGATGCTGTACCAGTTCAAAATAAATCTACAGTACAATCTAATACAAGATTTTCGGTTGTTAAAATGAAATGAGATGTGAAAATCGGATGTATCCAAGACAAACAATGAAACAACAAAATCGTTACTGTACGAGTAACAAAATAAGTCTACAGGATGTAAAAAAAAAAACAACACAAAAAACTACAGGTTGATTAAACCTATGAGACACACAAGATGCATTTCAAAGAAAGGACAATTGGCAAAAATAACTAATGACCCTAACAAAACAAAAAAGGATAGAATTTTACTTTAAAAATCAAAATTCGAGGGGTCCTATTCAAAAGATCTTATCTGCGCGTTCCCCCCAAGACAATCTTATCTTAAACGCATGCGGATTTCACCCAGTTTGACCAGTTGGGACACGTACGAGAGTAAGCGGAATATATTTTTACATGTACTTTTGGTTTCTTTGATCTTTCATCTCCACATTTCAGTGAATTTTATCACAAATGATTTTGATTTGTAGCTGTATTAAATGATCAAACTGAGTAAAATTCACATGCGTTTAAGATAAGATTGTCTTGGGGGGAACGCGCAGATAAGATCTTTTGAATAGGACCCCTCGAATTGGGCCAGAGAAAAATTAAAATTTAGTTTTAGTAAAACGCCAACCAGGATAACAAACAGCCAAACAATGAATAAATGCATACAACCACAAAAAAATTCAAAACAAATGGCAACCAATTCAAACGGAACAAAAGATTACCACAGGAATAGAACAATGTTGCCTGGAAGGAGAAGAAGCAAAGTGTGCCAACTTACCCACTCTGAAGTCAATGTATCCTTCACCTCCAGACATCACCAGCATTGAATAAGGTTTTTCAGAATCTGGTAAATTATCAACAGTTGGGGTTTCAACTGGAGCAGATGTAGCTGCAGAGAGGCCGCCTGAACCTGAAAATTAGAAGTAAGTCATGGTATAAAATCATGAATAAACAGACATAAAAATAAACGAAGTCCACACGTAAGAGCATTTAATTCAGAACCCATGTTTACCTGGCACAGACACAAAGAATTTTACAGCTTCTCTATGGCCATGGAAAGAAAGCTGAGCTTGTGCCATAGAGCAATAAGGAATAAAACTGCCAGGAGTAACCCGGTTTGTTTGAGCATCAGCATAAACACGAACAACAGATCCCGGGCCTCTTGCCGCACCAATAATGTTGCCTGCACCACCAGCACCTACATCAACATCAATATGGCAGAGTTAAACAGTTTTATTTGCACAAAAAATTAACATTAACAAGTACAGACCAGCAAAGGAATAAAAATGCTTACTCTCTGAAAGAGGAACCGATATTATAACACCATTTCCTGTGCCTATCCATAATCTAGATGATGAGATAAGGAGTGCTGTGATACGGGCAAATGAGAAGCCCAACTTTCCAGTGCCTGGAACACAAACAAAGAAAACAAAACAGATAAGGAAAAGCTCATTGAAAAGACAGAAAGATGAGCACACTTCAGCATGCGAAACAAAACACCAAAAAGCCTAAAAGGTAACATAAAAGTTGCCACTTAAAACCCCTTCATTCCATGTTGCTGTTAAACTTTTTATAAAACTTCATCCAGTGCATAGAAGGGGTAAATGTGAACCAGAGTGAAACACTATTACAGCAGCAGTAATCTTTGACTTTCGAATGATTAATTGTAAGAAAACATTAAATCTGTCTATCTATATCATTCAAGGAAATGCAAACAGAATGCAAAATAATAAGAATAATAAAAGATGGAATGGAAAAACTAGGCTAAGAAGAACAAGGGAATTCAATGAGAGACAAGAAGATAAACTAGGCAATAAAAGAATTTTAACTCCTGATTGGTGAAAGGAAAACCAAATGGCAAGCTTGGAAATGAAAGAACACAGAAACGACGAATACAAGCAAAAAGATCTGACATTCGTATGCAATTTGTACCTCCTGGAAACACGGCTTTTCGAGCGAGAAGCCAACCATCAGCACAAGCGAAGAGAAAGCACAAAAAGAGTAACATGTAGTATTAGATTTTAAACTTTCTCTATAATTCCTCAGAAAAATTTAAACAAAACACTGCAGTTGACATTTAACTGTTAAGACTCTCTCCACCTTATACACAGCACTAAAATGATAAAAAAATGAAAACTAAATTGAAAGCTGAACATAATTGAACACTGGCAACCCTTTATTGACTTATTGCAACCCCAATACCTGCCATGGCTTAAAAGCTTAGAAAATGTTCAATTATTTGTTAATTCCTGAATTTTTTTAAAAGCAGTGTCTCAAAAAGGCAGATTTAAAATTTCAGATTCTGCACATAGCTATGGAAACTGCCACAAAAACTTACCAAGCATTTTGCTCACATAAGGCTCAATGTCTACATCTTGCAAGTGTTGGTATGTATGAGCATGGTATAACCGAAGGGTTGAATCAAGGCGAATTGTCACCCAAACTCCATCTCCGAGCCAGGCCATTTGACGCACTTGACTTTCTTTGCGTGGATGAGCATCAAAAGTTTTCTAAAAATTAAAATTGACAAATGTTTTTGAGAGGAACAACTTAGTAGGAGACATGTTTAGGTTGAATTGAATCAACACAAAAATAGAGCTATGATTAGTCATACCTCCACTTTAAGCGAACGAGGATCCAAGACATGAATTTTGTTGCGATAACCACACCAAACACGTCCATGAACTGAGACCATGCAACGAATTGAATGGTGTTGTGGACCAAGGTCAACAATATGGTAGTTATTTAGGTTCCACTGACCATCCAAACCACGTCTGAATACAACAACTGTTCCATTTGCTAAAGCTGCAAGAACCCTTCCATGAATGTGTCTGTGAGGAAAACAATCATGTTGGAAGAAGTTGATAAAAGAGAACAACAAAAACGAAAAAGGTTCAAAAGGCTGAATCAAAATATCTTACACTATACTTAATACAGAGTCCTTAAGGTGAACACTGTGAAGACATCGACCCCATTGGGTGACAGCAGAATGTACATAAATATCACCACTCTGAGCACCCAACCACATTGTGGGAAGAACACTACTCATCTGCTCCAAATTTTCATTTACCAGCTCATCATTATCTGAGGAAGAAAATAGAATTGATTTAACAAAATGTAACATCCAGCCACAAACAACACACAAATTTTATGATTTATGATAAAATAATAGCCATGCACATGGACACTGTTCACACATTGTAAACTAGAACAAAATAAAGCACACAGCAAGTTACAATAAAAGCTCAACTAACATGAAAGGTCCTTTTAACTAACTGATTATGAGTAAATAAAGATTGCCAAAAATATGACATGTTAGAAGAGGAATGTCATAGACAAGAATCAGCAGCAGGTGTGCTATGTTCCTCAAATCATTTCTCTGCTTAATTGACTCTAAAAAAAGCTCTCACCTTTCGAATGTTGGGAGAGACCATCCTTGACAAGACCGCTAACTTCCTTCACTAACCTCCTTGGAGGGCTTATGTCTTCAGCCTCTTCCCCTAACCCTCCAAGTTCCACTGATAAGCCATAAATAACAAAACACACAATGTACACTCAACCCAGACAAACACAAAATTGTAAGCAGTAACACAGTTAGGTAATACACACAGAGACAAGCAGAGTGATGAAAACCTTACCCTCTATTTGTGATGACAACTTTGGTGCTACGAAGTCCCCCAAGGGAGGCCCAGGTGCTTCACTTCCTGTGGCACAACTCACTAATGTTATGCGGCCAATGCATGCTTCACTATCATCAGCTGAACTATCTGGCTGAGTACTTATTGAGTCACTGTCAACTGCCGAGTTCACTTTTATTTCTTGAGATGTTGTGTCATCATTGCCAGACAATTTACTATCAGTTTCTTGAACCTCTTCTGTGGCAGGATAATCACTTTCTCTCGCACCTAATGGAAAATGTACAGAGATAAAAACACGGCAAAGTTCTTTTTACATTTTGAAATTTTTCATGCATGTGTTGTCTCAGAACTTACCAGGTACACTTGCAATACACAACAAGTGTGATGAGCATACATTGAATGCCTTCAGCACATCAGCTGGGTTGTTAGCATCAACTACTGTTACACGACTCATTTTATGAGTTGATGTGCATATCCATACTAAGGATGACAGCTGTTGCTCTTCTGTCTCTCCTGCCCTTGCAAGTCTCTCTCCCTCCTGATAAGAACCCCATGAACATTAATAACTAGATCTTGCATGAAATTTCAGTACAAAAGTCATTGGAGGGAATCGAAAATACCTCAAGTTCTTCTTCTAAGCTCCGCACAGGACTTGGCTTATCATCATTGCTGGATAAATTGGCACTAGATTCTTCAGAAGGATTTGGATGATAAAAAATACTAGCTCCGACTATGGACCCACCATCTCTAGTTTTGCCACCACTAAGGTTGACCCCGGCAGCGCACCATATCTGCAAGGGCTGTTAGCAACAACAGCATTAGACAGAGAGAAGGAAACTAAAGCGATCTGCGCTCACAACTGAGGTGACAATGTCGCTCTGGTTCAACACCCACCTTGACTCCCGGCTCCGTCTCCGTCAAGGGGCGGCAGTACACTGGCACGGGCACAGGCTCCGCGCTGCTGGGCCTGGGCAGACTCGTCCCCGAGGAAGTGAGAGCCCCGACCCCCAAGATTCCTTGCGCTTGCCCGGGAGTGCCTTGGCTCGGCACCTTGGCGGGCAAGCTCCAGCCGTACGCCCTGAGGCGCCCGTCGTCCTTCTCCACGTGAGCGCGCACCTGCCGATACTGCTCCCGCCTCTCCGTCTGCCTCCGCAAAGCCAGCTTCTCATTATTCCTGGAAGAGGAAAGGAACAAAAACAAAGTGTGAAAGATGAAAGCATCAAGGGAAGACCCTGCTTCGTCGACTGACAGCAGACAAGACCCAAGCTTTGGCAGCGATAAGGAGATCTGAGGGTAATGCCCACAACCGACTCCATTTTACATTCAAGAAATATGTGAGGGCAGTGGAAGGAGGTAAGAAGAAGGCTTACAAACAAAACCGAAAGAAAGGGGGAAGCAACCATCACCATCAAAGGTAATAATTATAGATCTAGTTAAATGATTTAAGAAGTTACACGAATGTCAACAATTCCTAAAACTCCTAGAATTGAACTAAACAAGCACACAACAGAAGGTACAGAAACATGGGCATACTTGCCACAGTTAAAGGAAAACGTTACATAAAATGCACAAGATGCTCATTCCCATAAAGAGCCAAATTTTAGTGGTTTGAATTAAATTTGTTTGGCACTTTTCATGAGATTAAATGGGCATATAAGAAGTCACTTACACTTAAAATTGAGCCAGGTGTTTGAATCCAGAGCACGGAAGTGAGAAGGCAGACTTTTATCACAGAAGTAACTAAGCCTCTTCTGCAAGTTCGCAGAGGGGCCGACTCTCATTAGATTGACTAAAAGATGGCCTATAAAGTGATACGAACCACATTTTTAGTCCAGGATTATAGGAAAAGCTCTTGATGATGAATGAGACAATCTTCCAAAACTACCCTCTGCAGCACTGCATTTTCGGAGGTTTGCAGATTTAATGAATAACAGACAATAAATAAAATTGATTTGGGGAAATTGAAATTCCAACAAATCCCAACAAACAAACAAAGCACTGCCACATTATTAAAAATTGGATATAACACGAAGTTTAACATCCCAAAGCCTCGGTTGATACTTCTTCATACATTTAACAGCCTGAAACCTACATGAAATAAAACTAGCAGAGGATACAGTATGAAGAATGGTAGAGTGTGCAGAAAGCAAGAAAAGATCAATGATGAAATTAGTAAGCACTAAAGCACACGGTGAGGTATGGCAGTAACCCAAATCCCAACACAAGGGAATGTGCTTTTAAAAGAATATGTAACAAAATCAGAAGTTACCAAATGCATAGGTTTTTGAGGTTTTATTTTTTGAAGAATAGCCCATTTTCATTTTAAATGTTGAAACTATGGCTTATAAAACTTCTGGACATCAGCACATATGACAAAACTGTTCATCATAGATGGGAAAACTACAAACATTTCAATTGTACTTACACATCAGAAGACTCCATGAAGTCACCAGCCCGTTTACGTTCAGTGCGAGTACGTTGGCGCATAGAGCCCAAAGGCCCAGCAGGACTGACTTGGTGAGTAGGAGCATTGAACCGTACACCCATGTGCTGGGACTTACCAGTCGGTACAGGGCGATCAGTTGGAGTAAATAGGTTACTAAAACTGCAAGAGGAATGAGAAACAAATGAAAGTTACAGCTAAAGTAAAGATATAATCCATTATTTGTTATCTGTGACACTTACAATTTCCAAATACTTTGTTTACTTTTGCGATCTAAATTAGGGTCATTGCGAGACGCTCGAACTAATTCAGTCCATCGCACAGCATCTTGGAGCTCCATGAAACGTTCCTTGTATTGATTACGTTCCATTAGAACACGAGCCATTTCAACTCTTGTAAATCTTTTTCTTTGGGCCATAGGCACATCCTCCTGAAAATATAAGATACATTTGAGTTTTGGACAGTAATATCTCCGCTATGACACTCACAAACTGACAAACAGAGCTTAATGCAGAGTTTAAATTGAAACATACTTCATCATCTGATTTGTTGGCCTTAAGAGCTTTGTCTGCCTCTTCTTTGGCCTTCTTTAGCTCTTCCTCCAGGTCTCGGATTTGCTGCTTTAGTGCTGCCTCTGAAGACAGCCATTTTTTCTTCTTTTCTTGCAGAAACTCATTCTCGCTGTGGAATGAGATAATAATGTGTTTAAGGTAATGAATAATAATAAATTTTAACCATCGAAAGTGGAAAAATCTCTACAGCACTTTTCTCACCTTGTAAGTTCATCTACTTTGATAATTAGATCATCCTTGACAATATTCAAAGCATTCCTAAAGATTTAAAGAAATATTACAAGAAAATATGTTTTTCTGAAGTACAACATTGTATAGGCACACAAGTGTCATGGAAGCTGTCTTACTTGGTTGCCAGGAGCTCATTGTTTTCCATAATGAGATTTTCCACCTCTTTTCCCATTCCTATTTGGATAGAGAAATAAATTTGTGTAAGATAAAACAGTAGAAGCCAGACAAGAAACAAGAATATCTATTAGTGCAGTAAAAATATAATTTTGCGAAGTTTTTCAAGGCAAATTCCTCAGAATGCAAGAGTGACCTTTAAGGGGAAAACAATATAAAAAAAATAGAACCCCTGTTTTAAGTCAATTGCCATCAAAGCTTGAAAAATGCACAGTTAATTGCCAACAAACAGTTAAGCATTTTGAAATGAAAGGAAGCATATTATTGTTCATGCTAAACAGGCACACATACAGATAGACACTATGGTTTTTGTGCCTATCCCACTAGGTTTATGCTCTTCCCACACTTTGAAAGAAACATATAGATTCTGAACAAACTTAGATATTATTAACTGATTTGGAAAATCGCCAAATAGTAGGAACAAAAATTCTTCTAACAAACACATAAGTGAAAAAAGAAAGACCCTGTAATCTAGCCTAGAACACTCTAACTACAGTGATGAAACTCTTACCAAAGAAGTTGTCATTAACTGGAGTAGAGTCAGATGGAGAGCAGCAGGCATATCCAGGACAAATGCGAATGAAAACCACAAACATGTTAGTCAGCCACTCAAGCAATGCACAGAAGCTTAAATGACAAAAAAAAAAGTAATGGAGAACTGAATATTTCCCACAAAAGGATGCAAAGACCCAAGACAGAAAGTGTAATAAACACAAGTAAAGATAGAACCCTTAAAAAAAAAATTAGACTAAACAAATCAATGGGTACAAGTACTCTCACACACTCAGAGAAAACAAATGAGCTAAAAATTAAAAAGAGTGGTAAAAACAAATTTTGCAGATTCCAAGAACTGCAAGAGGATATACACTATATTGAAGAGAGGCTTAAGTTTGTTCTATGATAAGAAAAAAAAATCCTACAGTGTCAGGTTTATGCATGCAAGTACAGATGACAGAAGAAAATTTGCACCATCATGACAAACTTAAATATTCAATGAAGCATTTGAAACCCAAGCATTTTCTGTAAATATAAATTGATGCAAAAATCTATTGGTTTGCATACCAGCGTGAGCAATTTTGCCGCGTACTTCAGTTTCACTGTCGCTGTCTACTCCAGGGACGTCAGCATAGTGCAGCAAAGAAACAGCAACAAAGGGTGCAACAAAACATGCAAACAAAGGAACTACATTGAAAACTCCTCTAAAAGCATTCATTCAAGGCACACTACTGTTCAGGTCTGTCAACCAGGTGACATATCCCATTGCAAACTATATCTGTTACTTTAAAACAACAACAACGACAAAAAAAGAAACTAATAGAGAGGAAGAAAAACGCAACTTAAGAACTACATGATTAAGACGGAGGACAACATTAGTGCAAATCAAAAAGCAAGTTAAAACCAAAACTGAAAAGTTGCACCTTCTTTCAAATACAGTATTTCATTTCCTGCAATTACATTATTAATTTTAAATACAAGCAGAACAAGACAACTTTGAGGTGAGGTTATAGTAAACTAACAAAAATAAAATAAAAAACAAAGAAAGTGATGCAAAAAAAATATATCATTCAAGGAACGTTAATGAAAGCAGAACAGTGTCTTGTATTCTTCTATTATGTTAAATTCAATGTGTGAGGGTATCACCTGCTAAAAAGTGTTAAAAGTTCATTGTAAGGATGGGGAAGAAGCATTCACTCAAATCCTAGATTGGTCAAAGGAGTGAACCCAACTTCATTTATACTTGAATGATTCTGTTTGTTGGTATGAGGGATTGAGTGGGGTTCTGAGGATTTAGAATATAATGAGCAACGAAGCTATTAACCTGAATCGTAAGAAGTACATGCAAAGTTCCAATCATGTAAGTCGAGCATCAACTCAAAAAATAATTACTATGGGCAGAAGCTACTTGGAAAGACAGGAAAGCTCTAGAAATATACAAACCAGATGAGGCGTATTCTCCAGGGTGAACCCAGCTTCCTAAGAGTCACAAATGAGAAAATTTAATCTATGTCTGACATGATAATTTTGACAGCAATTAATTTAAAATAAAACTTGCACATGAAAAGAACAGTACAGTCAAAGGCGAATTTAAACTAATGTTTGAAAGGGAGGAGAGATCCTGTGTTGCAATTGAAGTTTGTAGGTGCTTACAAATCTCCCAAAGATGTCTGTATGATCTAGTTTTGTAAAAAGGCTGTTAAGAAATCTTTTAAAAAGTCAGGATACAATTTCGAAAACTGAAATCTGACACATATTCTGCAATTTTGGAATCAATAACAGTGTTGCAGAGATAAAGCATTTTGAAATAATCACCTGTGATGTCAGCACCTTCATCCATTTCTCCCAAAGCCTCAACATCTTGGAAACTGAGTTCTTGGTATAGTGTGTTTCCACTTCGTTGCTCTCTGTATGGTACAGAAGAAAGCAAAATAAAAGCAAAATGTAACAGTTAAAGGTAATTCTATGTAGTAAAACAAGTAGAATATTCGAAGCTTTTGGCACTTGCCGTTTAGTATGACTTTTGCCAGCTGGTTGAGTAGGAGGGAAATCTTCAGTGTCAGGACTTGAATCTTTACTTGTAGGACTAAGGCTCTCAGACCAACCTGATTGAGTAATGCAAGTAATGATAGGTTAAGCAGTTTTAAGGAACATAACACTTAAAACTAACACAAAACAAATAAATATTATCTAAATTAAGTGCAAGTAGCTTACCTATTTTGTCAGGAGATGGCAACTTTGAAAATGATCGATCAGGAGAAATATCTCTTATAGGAGACTGAGTTTCCTAAAACAAAAATTGCAAACCAATGTAAAAATTATTTGGCCAAAATTGTAGTTAATAAAAAATGGGGAAAACTTTCAGGGATTATTACCTCCAGCTCATTTTGAAGACTAGTAGTAGGAGAGGATGCCGAAGGTGCAAACTCAACTGGGCTAGAGACAGACTGTGGTCCAGCTTCCAAGGATGCAAATCCGTAAGACACTGGCCCACTAGACCTGAGAATTTAAAAATGTAAGGTAAAATTACATGAACCTTATAAAATCAATGCAAAACTGAATATTTTTGGGTATACCTGTTCATAGGGTTTAAGGAAGACATTGTAGGGGGTCTTGACCTTCCTGAGGGATCAAGACGATCTGTTGTTCCCATCATTAGTTTAGTCCTTTCCATAGTATCCATGTGAGTCTTAAGTAAATCAGTGTACCGTTCATGAAGTTTTGAATAATCTCTCTTCATTTCCGATTCTTTCTCTTCCAGGCGATATACTATTGTCATAATTAGAAATATCATTGTTAGTATTTTAATAATAAGGAAAGATTAGGTATAAAGTTACTATTTCATTTGCACTGAAACTGACAAGAGAATGAAATTTATACTATATGTTTGACATACCATGGTCAGAAGCATTTTTCCCCTTTAACTCCAGCATTCGCACAATTGATTCAAGGCTTTCAATTTTGCTCTGAAGCTCTTTTCGTTCATCCTCAGTAGCATCTTCAGCTTCTAATAGTTTCTACAAAGTTTAGAGAGCATAAGTAAAATCAGACACAGTATTATATAACTACCCAGCAGTGGAAACAATAGTGTTTGCTTGATGTATGTTTTACTGATACTGACTGAGGAGATCAAAACTTCCACAATAGTTAAATGATAAAACAGTGGAGGAAGAAAGAACAAAGGGACCAACTCAAGAAAACAGAATAAATGAATGAATATGTTTTAGTTGATGGTTATGTTTTGATCACATAACCTATCACTGTACATTTAATGGACAATAAATGAGATTGATGCAGTATAAACGGTGAACCCCAAACAAAGAACATCATTATATTGAATATAAAATTGTTTTACCTGTTCTGAGCTTTTCCTTAATTGCTTCTCTCTTTCATATTGTGTCACCAGCTGCTCATTGTCTTCCCTCAACAATTCTAATTCTACTTCATGCTCCTGGTTTTGAGTATATGATATGTCAAGACACTCGAGCACGTTGACGACTAACGGCATAAGGTCTTTTACAACGTCGTCATCATATTTGCTTATCATTTTCTCAAATTCCTGGTAAACACTACCAGCTAGAGACTGGACCTTTTCTGACATGACAACATGGGAGTCTTCATGAGTCCCATAAACAGTTTCTTGCTCCATCTCCATTTCTACGAATTTGCGCCACTACAGAAGAGTATTTAAAGTTTTAAACTACACACTGAGCAATTCAAATAAAACCACTGTTCCCAGAGCATATTAAAAGGGCTTGTCCCTTTCTGCTGATGACATTTTGCCAAACACTGACCCCATTTTAAACGCCTTCTAAGAACGCCCCCAAACCTATCAAAACAAAACAAAAGAGCAGCGGAAAGGATCGCCCACTTTGAGCAAGGCAGTGCCTTTTTGAATTTGTTCAGTCTAGAATCTTTCGTTCGTCAGTTGTAGACAGTGCTAGTGATAACGAGTGATACCTTCAACTGTCCGAGTCATTTTCGAACTTGAGGTGGAGTTGGATATTTCTGAGTTGAATTGTATTGTTGCTGGTGCTTTTCAGTATCCTGTCAAGATGCCTCCTGTCGCAAAGAGGACTGCGACTACGAGGACTGTAGGGACTGCGGCTGCAGGCCGACTTGCCCAGGTGGTCCAGCAGGCCCAGCCCACGGTACCTACTCGCTTCACCTCGGTCCCAATGAACTCAAAGTAAGTAAGTCACCGCGGATCGTCAAGATAGCCTTCCTTGTGCTTTATAACCGTTCTGTTCCAGGGATCAAGTGCAACAGTTTCGAGAGGCAAGAAAACTTCGCGAACAGGAAAGGCTTGAGAAGCTTAGAAACTGTCGCTTGAAAAACAGTTCAAATTCTTCCTTAAGTTCGTTTTCCTTTCGGAGGTTTGGCCCTGACACTTCCAAAGTTTCTTCATGTTCATCTTCACATGCGACAGAATCGAATAAATCAGCATTATCCATGAGAGTCCATGAGGAAAAGAAGCGTCCCAGAGTTGACGCCCACCCCTCAACTAGCTCATGTACTGTGCGTGAAAACAAAGTGGCATCGTCTAGGTTGCGGCGTTCAATTGGAGGAAGTGAGTACCTGGCACATGTTTCCAGCGAATGCTCTTTGAACTTAAAGGTTATTTTTCTCAAAAGTGATATATTCTTCATTTGTTAGGAAAAAGCATTCTGAAAAGCAAGTGTAGTAAACTCAAAGCCTCCAAAGCGGAGGTGAAGTTAACCAAAACGACACAACTTAGAATGCTGAAAGCGGATCCTCTTCTCCAGCTTTCCAATTTTAAGGCAACTGCAAGGCAAGTGCTAAAATACATCTTTTACATTCCTTCAGCTTAAAATTATCTAATAATATTTTATATCAGCAGCAGTAAGAAGATGATCCTGCCCGCACCAGAGCCTCTCAGGCAATATGCAGCTACTAGACCAATCAAACTTTTTGGAGATGGAAAACTTGCCTCAGGAATGAATGGTTGGTAGAGAAGTATGTTCTGCCAATACCATCTGCCTGAGTGTCAAATTATGGATCAAAATTTTTGTTGTTGACAGGTTCAAAGCCAACTGAAACGCTGGCAGTGACTAGTACCACCCCCAAGAAGCCTTTGGGAATCGTATCTCTTGATGATGGTAAAAAGCCACAGACACCATCACGAATACCAGTTAAGAAGGCCTCATTTGTCAGTCCTCTGAAACAAACTCCTAAGCCTAGCCCATTGAGGTGAGTTTTGTTTCATACCTCATAAACCTTCACAACAATAACAGGCACTCCCTTTTATTTTTGGCCTTGTATGATTTTTCAAATTATTTTTGTTTGCATGATCAATCAAATTAGAGAAAGACTGGCTTCTTGGTTGGAAAAGCGGAACCATTCATTAGACAATTTCAAGCACTTGAAATGCTTTGGGGTTCTTGGTCCGGCTGTCAAACGACCTCAAACACCATTTCGCAAGGTACTTTTGTCAACAAGTTTGTTGAAAGCGATTCCAGAAAGTAAGGAGTCTACTCCCAACAAGGATATCTCTGAAGTGAGCAATTTGGTTTGACCTTCATGCATCTTTTGCCAGTCTCACACTTTTTTGTTGTTTCTTTACTTACCCTCTTACTATTTGTTAGGATCCTTCTGGTGATGATTCTAGCCCGTTAAATACAACCTTCACACTTGAAGAAGAAGATAAAGAAAATATTTGCTCACCTACGGAACCAGTATGTTCCCTTTTTTATTTTCTAATCACTTTTTAAATGGTCAAACGTTTTCTTTTCATCCCTGCCTCTCTTATTTTTTCAGGAAGAGAATGCATCTGCTATATCTGTGGCTGAGCAGCAAACTGTTAAAGAATTGGACCAAGCACATGGAGTACTATCTGAGCTCCACAAGCTGATTCAAATGGTAACAATACTTTATAATCAGATTCAGGTGGCACTTACAATGATGCAGCAAATGCTGCTCTCATCTTGTGGTTTTCAATTAAATTAAAATTTTGAGTAGAATGTTCTGTTTTCTAACAGGCTTAATTTTTGTCATTGATTTAGGGTTACCCTATCGAACAATGTAGTTTATGGTTGAGAGCTGTACGTCGTCGATTCCCGCAGTGTGGAGATGAACCCACTTACTGGGAGTGTTTGGCTGCCTTAGAAGAAGCAAGAGGTGACCTTCAAACAGCAGTTTCTTGTTATGAACGAGCCATTTTGCAAGGGGCTGAGGTAAGTTCGTCTTGAGACCCTCAACAGAACTGCCATCATTTTCAACCAGACTTTGCTTTTGTTCCTTTGTGATTTTGATTTTCTTATTTTTGTCTTTCTTAGGAAAGCTCTGTTCAGAGTTCTCTTGATGAACTGCTGAAGAAAATGTCATCTTTGCATATTGAGCCTGTACTACGCATCAATAGAGAGAGTGTACAGAAGATACAGCAGAACAAGTTATTAGATTCTTCCAACATAATTAAGTCATCTTCAATTCAATTCGCCGTCAAGGAAAAGTAAGCACTTCGTTTAAGTTTTCAGACCAAGTAAGCATAGGAAAATTCGCTGTTTGATACATTTCTTTTTGTCAGGTGCACCCCTTCAAAGAAAATTGATGCTTCTGATGATTCTGACACACTGTTCACGGCTACTCCTGTGCGGCGTTCAGGGAGACTTGCTGGCACTCCTAAACAAGGGACACCAGGACTCCAATGTGTCAAGTCTTTGGAATTTCTGGAGCCAAATGTACGCAGATCCTTAGTTTTTCATACCAATAGTGCGCTGGAACCAGAAGACTGATATTTTTATGTTTAATACTTTAAGAGTTTGTTTGTTTACTACTTTTTATTATGTCATTCTCATTTTAATTGCTTGCACATTTAATTATTATTATTGATTAATTCAAAAGTATATTTTAAATAAAAGGCATTAGTAGTCCTTTTGTCCTAAGGGTTGTTGTGAGATTTCAAGGCAAAGTCTTCTTTCTCCCCCTCCCCTCTGAGTTTTGCACCTAAATTCTGCCTTCCAATAGAAGATTTCTGCACGAAAATAACAATTATCAAGGGTTATTTACTGTTTGAGTTGTTAAGATTAACTGGACTGCAAGAAACCCTGTTTGCTATCTCTGGAGAAAACATTGCATGGAGTACGGATAATGTTATTTTTTACTTGCTCAGT